TGCAGGATCAGGACGGGCCCCTCAGATACCCACTTAGAGCGGAGGCTGAGAAGCCGGCCCTGAAATACTCATCCCAGAAACCCAGGTTGAGACAAAGGAAGACACGGGATAACTGGACATTTGCATGTTGGGCCAGTAAATCCCAGGGTCCTGGGTGCTGTCTTTCAAAGGAGTCAGCTTTCCCTTGGATGAAAGACACGTTCCAATGTGGTCCACACAGCAGTCAGGCACCCACTAAGGTAGTGAGTTCCCTGTCTCTGCAGGGATGTAAGACAGTGCTTGCAGGAAGCGGCCCTCTGTGGTTGCCTCGAATTCCACGAGTCTATTTCTGGGAATCTGAGCAACAGTGGAGTGGACACACATCCAGGGCCCTCTGTTGGCTTCTAATAAGCGTCACTGAGGCCGGGCCTGCCAACCCCGTAGTTCCCGAGCATGAAGTTCTTGGCCTCCGTAGTTCTGTGGAATGTTTCTCAACCTGGGTTGCTAAAGGGGTGCAGTTGGGATTATCCCACAGACCAGAGGGAGCCAGTGGCACTTAGTGCTGAGGGAAAAGTGAGTCCTCGCAAAGGAGGCCCCATGCCAGCCGCTCCCACCTTGAGAAATGCCGGACTTCTGAGTGGGCGGGGCCCTTTCTTCTGCCGCGTACCCTGGAGAAGCCACTTGGGGGCCCGGTGGGACTCTGTAAACATGTTTCTTCTCTGCTTCCCAATTGTCTATCAGAGACGCCCAGAGCTGCTACGTCGCCCAGAGCAGCAGAGGCTGGTGTGGACCTTTCCAGGCTGCTCCCCAGAGCCCTCTCCCACCCAGGTCCACCTCCCCACCAGACTCCCGTGGCCAGCGCTGCTGGTCTGAGATGGACATGTGGCCCAGAAGGCCCCAAACTCCCACGCCAGCGAACGCAGTAACTCCCAGAAGGCGGGGACCAAGAGACACCGAGGCAGCCCTCACCTGTCCTCACAAAGCGGCAGGCCAGCTCTGGCCACACAAGGACGCCTCACGGGGCGGCTGGTCCACGAGGCCCACCTGCCAGCTCTCTGCACCACCAGCAGCCACAGGCACTGGGCCAGAGGAACCAAGGACCCTGATTCCACACACACACACACCCAGAATAAAGAGAGCCCCCTCCCTCTGGCTCCAGGTGGGCCATCTGGCACAGGTGTGAGGATCCCACCCACAGCTGCACCCAAACGGAGCCACCGGGCCCACCAGCCTGCTGCCTGCACCCTGCAGAGACTGCCTGGTGATAGGTCTGGGCAATGTCCTCACTGCTGTTGTCTGTAAGGTCCTGAAGACCCGGACCCAGAACGACCTGTGCTGAGTCAGTTTCCCGGACCGGGCTGCCTCGTTCAGGGTCGGTCGGGATTTGTTTTGCTAGTGAATGTGATGTTGAGACGACCTTGATCTTGGAGGACCTGCTGTAACTGCGTGGCAGGTTTGGCCAAAAGGCAACAGCCCTGAGTCTTTGTCATGAGGAGGTGTTGGGTCTTCTTGTGACACGTGGGATGCGTCATAAATCCCCCCCCCAAGTCCTAATGCGCACGCCCACACTTCCAGAGGCAAGTTTTGCAATTTTTAAAAGACAATTCATTATGATTACTGTCGTGATGTGAAGACATCATTTCCATAAGCTATGGGGGGTTTTTATGTGAAATAAATAAGCTGTAACTGAGACTTGTGACTTTTGTCCATTTCCAAGAGAATCGACGCTAGTCTTGGGCACAGTGTGGTTTTGTTTTTTGAAAGATTTATTTATGCACACAGAACTGGGGTACAGGCCAGAGGCTCAGGGGCGGCGAGAGGCTTCACCAGAGACAGAG